AATAAATAATAATCAATTGCAAAAACATGTATTTGTCTGTTGTGGAGGAGCTACATCTATACCAGACTCTAGTCTATTTGTATCAAAGTCTGAATGACTTTTATTTTAAAATATTGCCAGATTATCGTCAAATAAAGAAAGTAAATGGATATGACTGGATTTTCTTTGAATGAAGTAAATTAGAAAAAATGTTTTCACTGTGTCCCACTGCCGGCCGGTACCAAATGACCTATGGACTGATACTGGTCCACGAACCAGGGGTTGGGGACCCCATGATCTATACAGTCTTCCATTTAAAACCGGCCCTTCAACAGGAACTGTATTGCTGATGTGGCCCCCTAGTGAAAATTAGTTTGACACCGCTGCCTTAGTGGATTCTGTAAAATCAGTAAATCCTCCTCTGTTGCTGCTGAGTGAACATTTAAGCTGTGGCCTTCTGGGCATCTGTTACTAAAAGTGTTTGCTGTCATGGCTTTGTTGTGGAACGTACTCTGGGATGTGTAGAATTCATGACAAACAAAGGAAAAGATTAAATGCATTTTAAAGTTGTGGTCAGGAACACGCTGCACAATGGAATCTCACTACTGCCTTTACAATAGATCAGCAGTTCCCTGGACGACAGGCCGTTCATCACAAATTAATTGCACCGACTGCTCCTGCCTTTCCTATAGCTCTGACACTCCGCTTCGACTGCAGCAAGCAACAAAGACCGGAGTCTTTTTTTCAAGGTGCAACCGGTTGTTTTCGATGGACAGGACCGTGATGGACGCGGTTGTGAAAACGGTTCCGTACCTGCTTTGCCGATCTGGACGGCCAGTTTGGTGAGCTTCCCCTGCAGGACGGACTTTTCCTTCTTGGACACCGACACCTTCTTCTTCTCTTTCTCATCCCCGTCCCCGCCTTCGGCGCTCTTCAGAGGTTGCATCTCCATAGCAGCTGCTCCGTCCTGCTTCTTTACTGTAAATGGAGAAAAAAAAACAAACATACACGCCGCAGTGTCAGTAACAGAGATTAAACCACGTGATTAAGACGACAGGGTGCCGGACTTTATACCCCAGGTGTTGCACTAAGGTAAGGTTATAAAGTGTGTAAATAGAAGATGTGATTATCCCAGGTTTCGTGACGAGGCGGGGCTAATTAGTTTGAATAATCACCACACGACAGAAAGAAGAGTTTGTTCTTGTTCCTGCACTGTTTTATTAGGAGACCGTACGGTAGGTCTGCGGATAATCAAGAACCTGGTTTGTACTCCAGTGGAGGAGTAGAGCAGAGTCTGGCTTTTCTTAAAGACATAAAAAGGCATAAAATTGTTTTTTTGTTTTATAAAGTCCTACTGTCAAAATAGACCAATGTTTGGTACGGTTGTTTAGCAAGAAGATCATCAAGTCATCTGCATAGAGTTTGAGTGTTCTCCACGTGTCTATGCAGATTTTTGCCAAAGTAGTACCACACAAGGGATCGTATAAACTTCACACTTAATCTTCATTAGAGATCGGTTCTCAAACTGTTAACATGGCGCAAAACCTAGGAAATATTGGTCTGTCCAAGTAACACCAGTACTAGTAAAATACAGGCCTTAACTGCACAAGTACTTCCATGTACAGTGAAGTAGCATGAAACCGGTGCCTAAAATCAATGCTGGAACCATACACGAAAAAATCTGTGGAGGGTGCTCCTCCTGGTTCACTTTTGCCCACTCTCTTTGGATTAGCATAGCCAGACTACCCTCATATACTACTACAAAGAGCCCAAGTATCACCAGTAGTATGCAAACCATATTTTGAGAACCACTGAAGTGGATGTTAGAAGTTGATCTGTGCCTAGTGGATGATGCAGGGTGCACTCCAACATTTTTTTTTTCTTTTTGTGATAACTACTGGGGGTTAGCTTCAAACTGCTCAAACTGACGCATTCCCTACAACACGTGGATACGGGTCAAACAAAATTCATATTTACGAAATCGATCTCAATCTCATGCCCCGATATTTGATTTCAGCTTCGATCTGCTGAGGCAACGTCTTCTGTGGAAGAAACACTAATGGTGTTCATGCCGCAAACCAAACCTCAATCACCTCACTGTCTCTTTGTCTGTCAGCACACACGCACAAAACCGCAGAACTCTCATGTTAACGCAATCCATTTTCTAGATTCATTCTAAGCACGACGAGCAATGAGCTCCGTGCTTGTGGGAAACCTCTCAATGATGATTTTTTTTTTTCCATTTTCATACTCTGGAGTTAAGTACTTTGTTGTTTTCCCTTCTTCTTCTCTGTAACGGACAGGCCATTATCTGTGCGCAGCCGAAACACAGAATACGATGTTCTAATAAAAAGACGACCGGGCAATGACTGATCTTTGGGAAGCTGCACATTTGTTCCAGAAGAAGAAGAAGAAAAAGAAGAAGAAGAAGAAGAAGAAGAAGAAGAAGGAGGAGGAGTTGTATTTGAATACTGACTCTTCCTACATTTGTTTTGAAACACTGGTTTTGAATACTGAGTTTTCCTACATTTGTTTTGAAACACTGGTTGAAAGATTAATGGTTTGGATCATTTTTTCATGGGGTGGATTTTGTGGACCAGTTGCCAACAGTGGTAACTGTACATAGCATTGATGCAAGTGATTAGTATGTTAATCTGAAGTGTATGAATTTCAACAAATATTAATAAAATACCAGGTCTCAGGGGCGGATGCTGGTCTGTGAACAGGGTCATTTTAGGCTGAGTAATTTTAAAAGTCGAGATACAACATTTTCAAGTCAAAAGTAGCTAAATTTACCAAGTACAACTCAACGTCACCCAAAAACTGTATCAGTCTGACAGAAAAAAAAAATCGCTTAGCTATTAGCTATTTGGCTAATTGTCAAAATGTACCCCAACATCTAATTAAAAAAAATACATAATTTGTAGCATGACAAGGCCATGACAAGAGGTTTAGCGACTTAGGAGACTACCAAGTAAGAGTTGGTTAAAGAGAAAAAAAAAATAAAAGAAAGATAAACAAAACCCAAACGGAGCATAACCATTATTTAAAGAACCGTTTGTTCCTTTTTTTTCTCTTTCTACTAGACAAGAACACAAGTCAACAACGGAACAGAAACAACAGCAGAACAACAGACCAGGGACGAGAGATGGGCGACAGACAGAAATGGGAGGAGGAATTTTTTTTTTCTACTAGACAAGGACACAAGTCAATAACGGAACAGAAACAACAGCAGAACAACAGACCAGGGACGAGAGATGGGCGACAGACAGAAATGGGAGGAGGAATTTTCTAAACTAACACAAAACTGAGGTCAAATGAAAGGTGGAAGCCAGGGGTGGCAAACATACGGCCCGGCCCGCGGGCCAAAACGGGCCTGCTTGCGGTTTGAATGCGGTCGGCTTGATGAACATTGGAAATAATAACTAATACAGAAACACTACATGTTCGAGAAAAGTTTTTTAATTTCACTAAATATGAAGTACTTTTTTGCATGAAAAAAAAAAAAAAAGACTTGTTATTTTACAGGTAATAAGGTTTATGATTGCACTGTTTCAGGCCTGCTTGACATCTAATTGGGTTGCATGAACCAAAATGAGTTTGACACCCCTGGTGTAAACGTTCAATCCACTGTGGATTTCCTGAATTTGGACCACACTCTACTTATAGATCCAGTGTGGGGGTGAGATCTGGAACACTCACCAAATGATGTTGCGTTCACACCTGCATTTGACCAAGAGAAATACACCACACAGCACAGGCGGAAAATGGGAGGAGGAGAAGGAGGACGAGGAGAGAGGAGAGGATGAAGGATGTGGTTTGGTTACCTTTAATCTGGTTGTTCTCCATATTGCCATCCTGCATTTTACCTACGATGGAGACATACAAGACAATAACGACAAAAATAACCGAAGCAGACGTGTCAACAGATTGTCACCACAAAGACCGTACACACAGGGACAAACAACGTTCACAAATAGCCAGACAGGAGTGTGATTTTTAAGGTACATAGAGAGACTGGTGACACTGGTGTGTAGCCACGTACACATCATGGATTTTGCACAGTTAACAGCAAGTAATACTTGAAGGAAGTGCATGTATTTTTTTAACATTTCTTTTCCTCCTTTAAGGTGATATTTTGAATTTAAAAAATAAGCAACTCAAATAGATGTTCTTACATGACAAAATTTGTAATTACATTTACATTTAACCACGCACACACACACATACACACACACAGCATGCATTAGAGGAGGTGTCAGACTGAACGTGCAATCACAGAATAACACAGCAGGACAAGACAGGGAGAAAATCTTCAGCTCGAACGACAAACCACACATCGAGTTGATACCTGTTCAAAATTGGGATTTAAAACTGAAATCTGTCATTTGTGGGAATACGTTAGTTTACCGCTAGATCACTTGTCCTTTTCTTTTGTAAACTGTATTTTTTTATTTTTTTTTTATTAATTTATTCCTGACTCACAGCTTCTTTTAAAAATGATTCCAAGCAAATGACGCAGTTTTGGTTTTCATTCGGAGAACATCACAAGAGCGGAGTCCACCATGAATCTGGTCACGAGACAAATTTTTGTTTTGCAGTTTTGCCATTTAACTGCAACTATTGAAGACCTGAAAACATCTGGACTGCAGGCAGGCCGGTCGAAGAGACGATAATTAATAGTTCTACTACATTTTCAATCTGGTCTTTTCTTTTTTTCATTAATTAAGTTCAAAACAAGACACTGTAATGAATGTATTTATTATGGTTTTTACTCCTAGTACTATGCTAGTAAATACTGGCCTCAGCGGTGATCGGGGTGGAAGTCGTCTACAATATTTAACAGTGCTGGTTCTAAATGCTAAATGCTAATTGCTAAATAAAAAAAAAACATGTAATATAATTGATCATTACGAGCAGATTTTAACGTATTATCTTCTGTATGATGACCATTTACTCACGCCCACAGAGTATAATCCAGCTCCCTGGGGTAACAATAAAGCTAAAGATGACAAATTACTCTGCGCAATCCCAGGACAGCACAAGGTCACGTTGTAATTTCAATCCTGTCACACTTTCCTCAAGGATAATTACATGAATGCTTCCAGTCCAACTATGAAGACAAAAGAGTGATAATCTATTTTCCTTTTTTTTTTTTTTTGCTCACTACACATTCTTAGTCCTTCTATACTGTGTCTCGTTTCCTGTTTCAAACAAGTCTAGATAATGAAGAAGGAGACTTTGACTTTGGACTAGGGATGTCCGATAATATCGGCCAACCGATATTATCAGCCGATATTAGCATAATTATGTAACGTCGGTAAGAATCGTTATCGTTTTTTTTCCTCTGAAGATTCTCAGTCATCCTGGGCATCGTCAAGGTTGAAGAGTTCTGTTTGGGAACGTTTCGCCTCTCATCCAAGAGGCTTCTTGGGGGAGGAAGAAGCCTCTTGGATGAGAGGTGAAAATCCGATAACGCAATGTCTGGGTTTCGTCCAGACGATGGGACCTAACAATAGTGTTGAAGTGAAAGTGAATTATCGTCATTGTGACTCAGGACACCAACGCAGTGTTGAGCAAAAAGTTAATATCGGACGTCCCTAATGATAATTTGTCGGAATTAGAAATGAGTTGTTTGGATGATATTGGCAAATATCGGACATCCCTGATTGTTACTTATTATACTGTAGTCCAACAGGTTTTAGTTTGACACCTATGTTTGTCTGGTCTTTCAATTCACTGAGTCAAATCGGGTGGGTACTGTGTTACAACAACCTAGCAACAGGACAAAAATACGAATATTCCCTTTTTGTTTAGTATGATAAGCAAGTAACAGCAACTGCTTAACGACAGCCAAAACACAGGACAGGAAATGAGTTCCGACACAAGTAGACATGCACTGACAGCACAGGAGTGACGGGGGTCCAACACGGCTGACAGAGGGGTGGGGGGGGTGGGGGGTTGGAGTGGAAAAGACAGGAGTCAACAGCCACATCAGAGAGACATCAAAGATCACATGGTTCATCAACCTACCATTAATTAGGCTGGCACTGCCAGGGGCATTAATGCCTGCCGCCCCATCCGTGGCTATAGTTGCGATAGGATGCATGGGTGGATGGGAGCAGTCTAGCCACGAGGGCCGCACACACACAGGCATGTGCACACACAAGACAATGAACAGAGATAACATGGTTATAGCACATTTGATAGATCCAGCACATGTTGACTGTGTCTGAGGGTAAACGTTAGGGATCAGTGGGAATAGAACTTTCATATTTATTAGTATACTGTTTACACTTGGTATTTTTTATTTATTTTTGTTTGTTTCCCAAGTAGGTTGAAAGTAGTGTGTAAATAAACAAATATTGGATGGTGAGGGTTTGAACATGATGTGCAATCGTCTTGTTTGATGACATGTAAGGATGGTTATTTAATGCTGGCATTTTTTTTTTTCTTCCACTCATCGAGTTTGTACTTTTTAAGACGCTGTTTGTGACCGTTACAAAACAGGGGAAGATGAATGGTTTTCAAAAATATTTCATAAGTTCAACACTTTCTCTTTGCATTATTATTATTATTATTATTATTATTATTATTATAATACTTTGTGACACTTAATAAACATATAAAGCTTTGGGATTTATTTCAGCTGCTACTAACAAATGCAATCCTAGAACTAATACTAAAACATTCTAATACATTAGTCTTTTTTTTACTTATTGGAATCGATTACTTATAATTATTATAATTATTAATTAATTATTAATTATGTCGTAAAGTACACTGAAGTCTCTGTCCATCTCGACTCGAAACGAAAATATCGTCACAAATCATTCCTGCAGTCTCGTTGTACTTCTTATATTTAATAATACTCTGAGTCTCTCTGATTATCCTTTTTGCAAATTAGTTCTTCAGTGCGCCGAAACCACGACGTTGCACACTGGATAATGAGCAAAAACAAAGGAAACACTGTGATTTATTTATGACTATGTCAGCTCTTATCTTAATAACAGACAAACAAGGAATACTTTTAAAAAATACTGCATCTTCTTGGAGCTGCTGACAGACCAACTCAGTGGAAGCGTATCGTTGTTCAAAGACGCACATGTACCGTTGTCAAACTGACATGATCAGAACTGAAAGGAACTGTTTTGAGTTCCCTTTTCACCGCCGTACATCGGAGGAGCTGCCGCGCTAACGTCGACGTTAGCAGTAAAACTAGTCCTGACAGCCTTTCACCATTAACGCTGTTCAACACATTGAACGCAAATAGGTTTGATGAAAGTGAAGCCGGTTACAGCAGGAGGGGATTATACGTTATCTGTCAACGAGAAAAAAAAAAAAAAAAATTCATGATGGTTACACGCCACTGTCTCTAAAGTAACACTTCAAAACTCAGAGGGGAAAGTACTCGGCGGCAGAAGTAGAAGAGAAGAGAGGAAACATCGGGGTTAAGGATCTTTAAAAGTATCAAGTATCGCACTCAGAGGTCAGAGCAAGGTGATACTCTTACCTGCGTTCCGGTGTCCGTCTTCCACTGGTCGTCCATTCAGGTAAATTTAGGAGAAAAAAGAGGGAGAAAAAAAAAGACATTAATTGCACTGTATTCAAATGATGTCAGTCAAAAAATTAATTTGTTAATTAATTAATTTGTTTAAATTAAATTAAATTAATTTGTTGTTTTACATAATCAGGTTGTCCAACCTATAAAAAAATGACACTTTTGAAATCAGAGCCAACATGGAATTTTTAATCAAACTTGAATGTAAACCTGTTAAAATTAATTATTTTATAAATGAATTAATTGTTTCTTTCCCCAAAAGTAAAGTGTCATTTAAGAGGCACTAAAATTCCGTTATTTAGGAAGACGACAAGGCCGTCTGGGACCTGCTGTGAAAGACAATTTTCACAGAACTCTGCTTTTTGCGTTTTAAAAAGCTCTATCCTGGTAATACCGCCCCGCAAATGTTTTGGCTTTAATGGTATTATTTTATTTTATTAAAAAAAAATGTAATAAAAAATGCCGTTCCGAGGAAACACGATTATAACAACCAACACAAAAGCTCAGCTTCAGACTGGTGACTATCACCTTTCTTCTCTTTCTTCTCCTCTTCCTCTGAGCTCGCACCCAGCAGGGTGAAGATGATTCCAGTCTGAGAGTTGACACCGACAGCCGTCACCAGCATTCGCCCTGACCCTTCCATTACATGAGTACCTGCACAACAGGAAGCAGAGTGTGTACAGCGTTCAAGCACAAGCGCAGGGGTCAAAATGATTCGGTTCCGACTGTTGTTTTCGCTAACGTTGATTATGTTCTAATATCGTTCTGTCTGTCTGTCTACCCATCCATTTGTCTACAGTATGTTTGGAGAAATGTTATTATTTTCTCTTCTTCGGTCCCCGTGCAAAAAAAAAAACAGGCTGAAAGAATCTGGAAGAAAACATAGATAAAATGATTAACCTTTACTGGAGGGAGTTAATGTGCACGAAGGCGGGAATAAATTAGATACCGCAGAAACAGAGCAACCTAATTTATTCTGGTAGAATGAAAATATACCAGAACTGGAGAGATAATTAAGGCATCATTCAGTTTACTATGAAAGTCAGGATTTCTAAGATCATACGACCGCACGGCCCGGTGTCTCTCTTCTCTTCTGCACAAACTAAAATTTAAAAAAAATCAACCACGTTCGGTCTCCTGCCTAAAGACATCGTCGTCACTGTGATCTGATTTGGTTTTCTAGTAGAGGAAAACATCTCGCGTTTCCCGTTTTATGAAACAGTATGTTGTGGTTTTTTTAAAGTGTGAAATTTGCATCACCTAGGAGGCGCCAGAGCCACTTACCCTAAACCAGTAGTTTTCAATTATTTTCTGTCATGCGCCCCCTTGGGGACAGAAATGTGTTCACGCCCCAACCTCCCCACCCCCCTCGACTCACACCCCCGCGAATTGAAATACTATCAAGAACCTGTTAACATGTATATTTCTTATCTGTACAAACCGCTGTATGAGTTACTGCCACCTAGTGGCTGGAGGCTTGTGCCATATTCCATTGAAAGCCCCCCGGCGCCTCACCGCGTCCCCCGAGGGGGGCCCGCCCCACTATTTGAGAAGTACTGCTTTAAATTAAACTTGCTTACAGTTACTCAGAATAATACTGATATTTAGGTAATATCGGTCAACTGGTATTATCAGACATCCCTTATCGTGGCTGACATTAGCATAGCTATGTAATATCGGTAAGAATCGTTGTCGGTTTTTCTTCGGATAATGCAAACCTGATAGCAATGCCTGGGACTCGCCCGGAGGATGTGACCTAAGACAATCCAGAAGATGAACGTAATCAAGGATTTGACTTTTTACCCTTTTTTGTGTAAATGACATCTGTAGTGTGTAGAATTGACCTGACTGGTGTGTGTGTGTGTGTGTGTGTGTGTGTGTGTGTCCTAAGTGAGAAATACAAGCTGTATTTGTCACTTCAACGCACACTCCATCACAGAAGATAGGATTGCGACTGTTTCAGAACAACAATTTATCTGCAGAGACTGTATCAACGGGCTTCATACCAGACAACAGCATGGGGTCCTTGTCTGCAGACTTCTTGACATGGTCGGATTCTCCGGTCAGTGAAGACTCGTCTATTTTCAGGTCGTTGCCTTGGATCAATACTCCATCAGCTGGAAGCAGATCACCTGCGGCAACAGACACGGCAACGAGTTTGAAGCACTTATGAGGAGGAAGATTTTCGATGGAACACGAGAATTATGGAATGAAGGTGTGCGTTTTCAACTCAGCATGTAAGTCGGCTAGTCGTATTTTTTTTGGTAAGTCAAAAAGTTCTAGTTATTATCATTTTAAAAGGTGTCTTGTTTTAATAATTCCCGACATTTAAGACATGTCTCTCAGACGTCTCAAGCAGTTTGGACAGGTTTTTATCATGATATCTTGGTCAATTATTAAAGCTGTTTTACTGTTACAATGTATTGTTATAATATTATAAATAATATATTAGTATTATCATCACTATTATGAATATATTATTATCATTATTATTATTGTTGTTATACATTTGCACCAGGTTTTGTTCCAGCTACATCTTAATATTTGATTTTCCAAAAACTGAAAGAATGTTTGAAAAGGAAAAGGATTTTAGTCCAGAAACGAGACAAAAACGTCAGTTGTAAACTGGTGTAAAAGACATTCTCTCTAAAGGAAATACTGCTTGCAGAAGTGTTTTGACTTATTATTTTCATAAATCATGATTTTTTTTTTTAATTGGAATTCTTAACTCGTCGACGTACCCTTGAATGACCTGTCATCAAGAACACACGTCGCTCTTACGGTTTTATCATTGCTTTGTCTACAGTGCAGCAAGTAAAAACTCACAGAACTCAAACCCTCACCATATTTAATCTGTGCAATGTCTCCGACCACGATGTCGGTCACCGGCAGCTGTATGACCTGCGCGCCCCGCACCACCTGGAATTTCTGCTCCTGCTCGATGCGGCTCTGTAAGCCACGGAACTGCTTCTCTTTCGACCAGTCGTTGAAGGCCGTCACCAGCACCACACACACCACGGACAGCAGGATGGCTGCGCCTTCGATCCAGCCAGCCTCTCCCTCGCCCTCGTCTCCGCCTGCTGCTTCTCCACAGGCTGCAGATTGGAGAGAGAGAGTCCATGGAAATCAGTGTTATTCTAAAGGTTATTCTAAAGGCAAAAACACACACACACACACACAGGGATATTAATGCAAACACAAGTATGATTTGAGGAACAACAGTTTATATAGCAACCAGATTTTGATGCTAGTATGAAGTGGCTCCGAGCCATTAGCGCCCCCCCAAGGGTTGAGAAAATGCTAGTCGTCCAACAGGGAAGGTGTGTTATCTTTCTAACCAAAAGTCAATGACTGCTTAGAGAACAATGTATACACTGGGGCTTCAAGATACGAGTTTAGTTTAGTTTAGTTTTCTCGACTGCATTTTTCCCCATTACAAATAACTAAAAAATGAATTTGTTCCCTCCCCACAGAAATATAGTATTAATTAATTAAATTGATCTAAAAATCAAAAACATAGATATAAACAAATATGTTGATAATATAAAAAAAATGATTAATTAATAAAACATTTTATATTATTGTAAAAAAATGAATAATTAATAAAACTTTTTATATTATTGTTATAAAAATGGGTAAAATAACCCAGCGAGGGACAGTGAGCGAGACAGAGTGACGGGAGTGAGGACTCTATTTAGATGATAGAAAGAGAGAGAGAGAGAGAGAGAGAGAGAGAGAGAGAGAGAAAGGGAAAGTATAGAAAGGAAGAAAGGGAAAAATAAGTGGCAAAATGTACCTCATATCACAAGAAAAAAACTTGAAAAACTCATATTTTGGGGAGCTCATATCTGTATGTAGTTACTAGGTAGGACAGTGGGCAGACAGTATTGGACAATGATGAGTAAGTGATGACTTGACATGACCAGGTCATCAATGAGGAGTGAGGAGGACCATTACTGTGTATAGTACAGTGTGTCACTCTAAGACTTAATAATTACAAATGTTTTTTTTTTCCATGGTGCATTCTTCCAGGACTCACTCTAATTTATGTACCATGTCCCACTGTGGTTACACCTGGTCGGACCATATGTCGCTGTACAAACATGTTTTTGTGTATTTGAAGCTTTTGCGATACTTTTGCCACCGTTTTATTTCATCAAAACCCCATTTGGTTTTGTGAACACCAATGTGCATATTATAAAAGAAAGAAAGAAAAAAAAAACAACCTCAAAAACTGATGAAATTAGCATTTTTATTAATTTGCTCTAATTCAAACGAGGACGCAGCTGTCGCCTGACTGTGACAGACCGGCTGTATTTTTGAGAATGAAACAAGACCAATTCCCAGTTGTCCTTCAAACGCTTGCTCTAATGCCCAGGAAGCACGTTGCAATCCTGGCTCGTTGAGTTAAAAAGCTCCCAGTGGGGCAATTTGTTTAGGACTGAGGGAAAACATGCAGCCCACAGAGTGAAATAGTGCAGAGCCCACATTACTGATATGTGCAGGGTCTAATTCAGAGAGCAACACAATTTGGACTCACTGCTGCCTTACGGAAGGACTCAAGGGGGGGATGGCGCTTTGTGCGATGTAACGATGACGTGCTCCCTACTGACTAACAATTTCTCGGTGAAAATTATTGTTGATCTTACGCATTGATGCATTTATACAGATTGTAAGAAGCAGTAAATGTCAACATTAACACAGCTCACGAAGTCATTTCAGGCCATTTTAATGCGTTTGTTTCTGTTGTTCTTTATTCCTCTACAATAGGAAAAAAAACTCATAAAAAAAATCATTTCTAATTTGGAAGGTTTTGAATTATTCGGAGCCGTGACCAGACTGACATTTGTGCATTAAGTAAAATCAATAACAGACAGACATTGACTGAAAAAAAAAAAAAAACACAAAACAGTAGCTTTCTATTTCTCAGAGTGACCGTTTAACTACTACACGCATGTAAATGTAATGATGGCATGAGAGTGGTTCTCAAAGTGTGGACTCCCCGCACCCAAACTTCGCCTGACCCTCCCAACCCGACCCGACCCCGAGAAGTCATCCATTTGCACACAAACGCATGTTTGTTCAATTCTGTGCCCAATTCTGCCCTCCACCAATAGACCATGACTCTGTTTCCTCCGTTTGAAAAACAATATAAAGGTAGATGTCAGCCCCTCTTCAGTTACATTCGCCGGAGAGACGACTGCACGAAGATGAACACAGGTAACACTCAGCTTTGTGCTGCTTACTTTGTAGAAAATCAAATTATTGGTATTCACTGTGTCTTTTAGTTATCGCACAAGTTCACTGCGTATCCCGGTAAGCGTTGTTTACTAAACTAAAGTGATCAATGAAAATGAACACCATGTATATGTGTATATATATATATATATATATATATATATATATATAAAATTGTATCTCACAGAAATAGAATATAAAATATGTGACTTTCTTGGCTTTTTGGAAAAGGTTCGTGACCCCTGCTATAGAAAATGCTCTTCTTTTTTGAGACCTTGTATATCCTCTCTCTCTTTCTCTCTCTCCTACATTATCTACATATGAGTAAAGTTGATTTTATTTCAAGTTAAAAAGAGCTGAAATTTAATGATTCGCTTTTCATCAAAACACATTTTGAACACATGGCATTAAAGTCGCCTGTGTTGTCCCTCTCCAGTATTTTTTTTTTTACACTGGATAGAAATACCACTCGTTTCCTTTACTATTCAAATTTCATGAACATACAAGGTCAATATCGTCTTTCAACTTTCATAACGCTCATACGGCCATCATTTGCATCTGTTTATATCTGTAAGGGTCTGGATGCTGATTCAAATTCATATGTATTCATGTCATTTAAATATGAAAAGAGAACGTGCATATTGGAACCTGTTTAAAGGTTTATTTGTCCTTAGTCTGATGCAGCTATTAGCATAATGATTAATACGGTTCTCTCTGATTTATGACGCAGAGAGTTTAGTGATTATTAACAGCACGGGTTTGGTGAAATGGTGAAATTAGGAGTAACGCTGTTCTTGATTTGTAGATCGCGCCGAAAAGTAAGTGGAAATGAGTTCAAATTTCTAACCCTGTATTTGAAGATGGACTAAAATTATATCCGATTTTTTTTTTTTTCTTTCTCTGGGAAACTGAAATCTATTACTGTGATAATGTTGGCAGCAGTGACTGATGTGGCTGACTCAGCACCTCATTATGGTCTCAGTCTTCATTTCCTGTTTCACAGCTCACGGGTCTGATGTATGGGCTCTGGGAGCTCAGGGGTTTTTTTTTTTTTTGCTCAACACTTCATTAACCTTCCTGCTGCTTTTTCATATGCACATTTCACACGTTCACATCATGTACACACACTCACACTAGCCCTTTTTTGAAGACTCACTTGACCTTTTAAGGCAGGTCAGAATGTGTGCCGTGTTCCGGCCAATTAAAAATGTGTGTCCTTACGTGTACCTGTGCGACTAACGAAGCTAAGGCACCAGTGTCAGATTTGGTAACTCCACATTTTGGATGTGTGTGCATGCATCCATTATGTAGCGCTTATTCCCTTTTCAGGATCACGGGGGGCAGGGGAGGGAAGAGGGCATGGACTAATCCAAGCCTTTAAGCCAAACTCAAAGAGAAGCCATGTAAACATCCAGGCAGAAAGATCAACTGGGGAATTCACTCACCTTCTGAAGTGTTGTCTCCAGGAGGACTGTAGAAGGAAAGGCCCAGGGAGATCAGTGCAGCAACCTCCAGGATGATGAGGGTGACATCCTGCAGCGCCTCCCATACCAGCTGCAGGAAGGTTTTTGGCTTCTTTGGAGGTATCATGTTTTTCCCAAATATTTCTTTTCTCTTGTCCAGGTCGGGCTGAGCACCTGTAAGACCTGGGGGATGGAAATACCACAAAATGATGATTATGCACAGTCACTATGTAGAGTAGAGTGTATATTGTAGTAAATCGGAATAGTTATAAATATCTACACAACATTCGCGGCAATGTAGTAATATAAATAGGCACAGAGTTGCTGCAATACTTCAGTATTGTACAGTATATATTGATTCAAATAAATACATTGGGAAATATATTTTTTCTTGCATTTCATTTTCCATGTTTTTTTTTTTTTTTCATTTTCCTTTTCCTCGCAGCACACATACGGTGTTTGTAATTACCACATTGACTCATGGTGGGCCCAGTATACATGCCTTATATAATACTGCTGCAGAGATGAGGGCCTTCAGTTTTGACCTCACACACCTACTCATACACCATGATCGGTGGTTCGTACATATCTTTCTCTCTTTTATCTTGAACCCTCAGGTTGGCTTCAGGCAGATTCAGTTATATATATACTGCACTTGTACGGTTACTCAATTATTGTAATTGAAAACGCACTTTGGTGCAGAGAGCATTTTCCTTTTTTTTTTTTTTTTTTTGAATAGCATATTCGCTAACACACACTTCTGTAGGCCGTAGCAGTCACGTTACAACTTTAATATATGGTTTCCGCAGCAGGATTAAATATCAAAGTCCAGCAAAATACAGAAAGGAATAATAATATATAATCACAATATCTAGTTCTTACTATGTTAAAATAATAATAATTATGAATGAATGAAGGAGAATGTATAAGAGTTCTAGGACATAAATGTCACTCTATTATTTGTATTTATATGGTCTGTAGATTTTTACAAAACTGACCAATGCAGTTTTAAAGATTATTCTACTATGCATAATAATAATAATAATAATAATTTTTGTTATTATTATTATTGTTTCACTACTGAGCTATTCAAGTGATAATCAAACTATCTAACAATTAATTCATTTTTTGGAATTAAATTAGAGAAAGAAAAAAAAAAACAACAACCATGCAGTACCTGCACAGACCCTATAGGGGTGCAGTAGAGCATTGACCTTTGAACTATGTTATATTTTAAAGTACTATATTAAGTTTATGCCTGTATTTCTGTTGCTTTTCAGAATAGATTGGCAGTGGTGGCTTGAGGGAAGAACAATTTACATCTCCAACACTGGAAAATGCCCCGGTTATAAATAGCTCTATCAATAAATAACCTCCTTATCTGGTCTATTTTACACCTTTCAGTGTGAGGATCATGTGCACGGGGTGCTTTTGTGTGCAGTCACTTTAGGTCTTGCCCGACACACGTGCTACACGTTAACGATCTGTACTCCATCGTAGCGGAGAGCATGATCATCAGGCCATTCTTGCTTGTGTCATGTACAGTATTGCCGACGTTAACAGGAACTTTAAAAAAAATGAATGATTTAAACAGGACGCTCTCGGTGATAAACCATCATCATCTAATCATCATTTAATTCATGCTAGCGCCGCATTATCCTTCTCTCCCTGACTAATTGCAATTTTGCTTACAGCTAAAGATCCACTGTCGTATCCGCCTAATATTCTTGGATAATGGCTCCCGTCTCATCTCATTACTCGTACAGTGGGTTAAAGCAGACATTAAAAAAAAAAAAAATAGTCAACAACAGTGGAGTCACAGATATCTGGACACTGTGGGGAAACGGCTGTAAATCAGTGTAATATTTATTATTATATTTTAGATTTGGTTCTGGGCAATGGTTCGTTTTATTAGTATTGGCAGTTGGGAAAAAAGGGCAAAGGAATTGTTCTTGTTTGTAGTAGCAACAGCAGCAGCTTTCGTGTTAGTAACAACGGTAGTACTAACAACAACAAAAAAACATTAAAAACAGATTTATAACTTACTCTTCCTGTTTGCTAATCCCACCCCTTACCACGACCCCCTTCGAAACTCTGACCTGTTAGGTCAAATGGACACCCCTGGCTAGAATGCTTTTATCATTTTCTATGCCATCTATTGGGGAAACGTGGGTATTGCACCCCACTACTTCAGTGGCAGTTTACTTGTGCATCAAGAAAATGGAGAAACGGAAAGAGAAAAGGCAGACAGAGGGCAGCTGCAATGATTTTACATGAACCATTACTATTTATCATTATTGTTAACATTATTATTATTATTGTTGATGTTGTTGATGTGTTATAACATGTTCACCGATGCATCAAGAACTTCTTAAGAAAGAAAATCCCTGCCCCAGTCTCAGGGAACACGAGGGCATGTTTTAACAGTTGGTCCTTTTTGTCAGTGGCTAAATAAAGATCTCCATGGAAACATTATGCATCCCACTCATTCTGTGGAGAACCCACAACTTAGAACCTGGCAGACATTTATGTATGAGGTGGTGCATATGGCCGTACCTGTGCGCGCACTGGTATAGATACACTTGTAAGGACATGTCGCACTTGTCGGGAGAGACAGCTACCCTGAGGTTTGAGATTCATTTTTAAATTTGGATTAAAATTAGGGTCAGATAAGAGTTAGTGTAAGGATTAGGATTAGGAATGCATTTGTAACAGCGAAGGTTAGAGTAAAGGGGCTAGGGATAACCGGAGCTGTGTGTGTGTCTGTGTGTGTTGGCATGTTCAAAAGCGTGCACAGATTGATCCAACCAGGCAATGGAAAAGAAATACATTTTAAAAAAACGGTGATGACCTCTAAATGTCCTTGGCCACCGAAGACCTCATGGCGGAGCAATTTCAACAACTTGATGGATTTGACTCCGTGAGGTCTAAACACGCTGGCAGGTCTAACGGGATCTACCTGTGACCTTGGTTTTTACATTTTCTTGCTTGGTCTTCATCAACTCTTCTCCATCACATTACTGTGAGCGCGAGTTTCCAATTCAAGTAACCATAGCAACAGGGTAGTATGATGATGGTGATCATCATAAAGGTGTAAGGATATTGATGCCTTTTTTTTTTTTTTTTTTTTTCACCTGCTAGGAATCAATAGCTGCAACACGATGGGAGAAACCAACCAAAGGACAGACATAAAGGACCAAAGAGTGACTCACGCATCACACAGCAGCGTAAAGAAAAAGAAAGAGAGCACTTGGAGACAAAAGGCTGCATGTGGGTTAACTCGAAAAAAAAAACACGCCGCTAGCATTAAAAGAAGGAAAAATTATCATTCCCCCTTTGCAGAAAATGGATTTAAACAGAAATGTGTCAAAACGCCCTTGAGAATGACCTCTACCACAATGACACCATTTTCTGCCATAAAGGATGTAAGAACCGAGTGGAAAGAGCCACAAAGGCCAGATGAGATGCTTTAACGTAACACGAAAATGTAGTGAGTGGTGTGTCAGCGGATGACATTTACACATGTCACACAGAGGCTAAGTGAGGAGCGTAGATCCATTATTTATAGGCATATTGTTCAGGGAGAGAACGTTGTTATTGTTGTTACTACGGTGATGTAGTGATGAAATCACTGGATACTTTCCTATTCATTACCCTCTCATTCTACCTAATGAACCCGTTATCTGTAGTTTGAACTGCAGCTGACTACGCTGTTTGGCTGTGGCCGACTGTCGCCGTTGGCGCTAGCTCTGGTGTAAACTGCTAACGATTCCAGATCTTTTTTTACGATCAGAAATTTATGGATCAGGAGGTTTTGACAAAGTACTTTTCACCCAACAAGTAATGAGTTGTCGTCAACCATCAATGTATCGTCTGCATTTCTGAGAAGGTGAAGATGAAAATCTGTTTTTGTCCCAGCCCTGATAGAAACTGAACTTATTTCTGACTTATTTACAGTAGTAATGGTTAGCGGTTAGCGCGTCTGCCTTGGAATGAGAGAGCAGATAGTCCTGGGTTTGACTCCCAGAGGAAGCACATACTTGGCACCGCCACCTTCTCCTGTCGCACAAGAAGTAACACAAGAATGTGTGGGATCAATAAAGTTTAAATTATTATTAAATATTATTATTAAACTTGCCTGTTTACTGTGAGAAAATGTTTCGCGAAGTTCACAAATGACGTTCTCGCAGAAAAGTCAGGCATGGGCAAACTGAGGCCCGGGTGCTGGATGCGGCCCGTGCAGCTTCTTAATCCAGCTTGCCAAACTTTTCCAAATTATATAATTTTTTTACATTATCAATATAATTCCTTTTCCCTGTAATACCCATGTTCTCCAATAGATGGCGTAGGAAATGATAAGCCTAATGATTTTAGCCTTTATGCATGACTTTTACATGTCATTTATCTTAGCTCACATCTATCTGCTCCCGACCCGGACACAATTTCAGGACAATCGTGGACCAAAACAAAAAACCAAACAAAAAGTTTGCCCACGCTTGACATAAGTCAAAGGCAAAAGAAGGAACAAAATGCTGAATGGTGAAGAATACTTAGCTATGAAGTGGCAACGCTTCAGAAACCGCTGCTAAAGCCGTACCAGTTGTAGCCGCCATTACGTAACAAACGCAAGCTAGCAGACGGCTAAAAATAGTATATTAAAAATTGTTACAATTCTACACCCTAAAAAAAATATAAAGCACAGCTGCCGCCTCTAAAATGTCCAACTCTCATCTTGTGAAGATTCAAGTGAAGATTCCTAAAGGAAATCTCCAACGTGGTGGTGAACATTTCTCTCCGCACACCCACATCCACACCCACACCCTGTAGCTAAATGGAGACACAATTAAAAAAAAAAAAAAAAACACTTCCTCTACTGTTAACATGCTACGGTGCTGTGTTTTGGTTGGCCATGTGAGTGTGTCAGAAGGGGGGGGGGACAGGGACGGGGGGGTAATAAAGACTTTCTCTGGTTTATGTGTCTTAGTTTTGTCTTCACTTTGCTGTTCTACATCCCGCTGTGATTGAGGGTTCGCACACATTTAAAACATGCTAACAGACGATTAGGTTAAACGAAGCGGGATTTTTTTTTAAGACCGTCTCTGTCCTGCTGTGAGGCGTAATGAAAATCTGTGAAAAATGTCACGTGACAATACAGTACAACGACTCTCATGACTCTGCTTGTT